GCTGTCCTCAGAGCCTTTGCAACAGTAGTCATCAGTCTGGCTTCCAACTTGCAGCAGACAAGTAGCTGCTCTCCCGAAGCGTTTCTTTTCGTGGAGCTATTGACATTAAACTACGACTGCAGATGATTGAGCCAGGTTGAATGACGACGACTACTACGACTACGACTTACGACTACTACTACTACTACTACTACTACTACTACTACTACTACTACTACTACTTCTTCTACGAAGCCGTTCTTTTCTTAGAGCTGTTGGCGTGTTGGCGTTAAACTCCGAGTGCACATGATTGAATCAAAATGAATGGCTACTACTACTACTACTACTACTACTACTACTACTACTACTACTACTACTACTACTACTACTACTACTCCAAACTACTGCTGCTCAATGTTAAGTAACACTAACCGCAACGTTGACATGTAATGACCATAAAATTACGAATACTGGTGATATGACCTCAGGACTTGATTAGAGGTACAGAATTACTTACCCGTTAAGAAGATGGGAGCGAGTGAACCTGTAGTACAGAAACCACAGCTTACTGTGGACTTTGCCGGCGTTAGAGCGCCTTCGCTCGGTGCTCACAGTGGCGTCCCTGTTGAAGTCCCCAATAGTACGGCACCCTTATAGAAAGGACCATAAAAGGACCCTAACTTGGAGAATTACTCATATCGAATCGCAGATACTTCGGCTTAAGAAAGATTGTGAACGAGGTACCCTAGGGCCCATGTATGTCCTATGCAGGCACACGGACCCTCAGGATTGCACCTGAGGTCATCACTGATGCAGTGGTTGTTCAATATCTGGGCCGACATCATTGTAGAATAAGGGCAAGACGCAGCTTCCGTTTTTTGGCTTGGACCTCCTTTGTGCAGAAGCCTGAAAAATTGAAGATAAAGTTCCTAAGAGTTCTATACTACTGTTGATGATATAAATCCTGCATTACCTTAAGGACCCTAAACTATGGGAATTATGGTATATTCCTTATTATGGGTAATGCAGGATTTATATCATCCACCGTAGGTTATACTTTCATGTAACCGAAAACCCTCTTCTATTGAGGCCCGTGTTGTTTTCCTTGTTGCAACCCTCGGCCACGGCCCTCGCAGTAGGGCGACGGACTGGGGCTTGCGAGCGCTCGCATAGCAATCCCAGATGCCTGAAAGGATCCGCAAAAATGGAGCCGTTGAAAGTGCCATAGACATTGTCTGAACCAAAACTAATTAATTAGTTAAGCTGTTTTTTTTGTGAGGGGAGGGGGGAGGGGCTGGAAGCCATTTGCTCAATCCTTTCTGCACGGTCTGGGATGAAGTCTTTAGTGCCCCGAGCTTTGGTTCGGAAACGCGCTAGACCCCGTGATTGCCGCGAGTGGAAATGCTACATGTGGAGCTCGAAGCTTCACACCGTAGGGACCCAAAAAGCACATACGCCTAAGCATTCTATGTGGATATCCCTACTTTAGTGGGCTTCATAATACGGGGGGTTCATATGGGATGGAAAATCCCTATTCTTGTTTTTGCTTATGTGCTTTCGGTTACACGGTTTAAGGTTTGGTGTGTAGGGTATGGGCGTAGGGTTTAGGGTACAGTTGCCTTCGCTTAGAATACTTCCTGGGTCGTTTGGGGTTCTGGTCTCTCTTAGAGGGATCCACCACAGCAATTTCTCCTTGGCGTTCTTCTGGTTGGCTCTTAGGACTTTTACTTCTTGGGTTTCTATAGTAACTACAGTAAGGAGGCGAACAGTTTAAGTTTTAGGAGGGGTTCAGAAGTCAGCCAAGTTTCTGTGCAGCCCGAGAGGAGGACAGTGGAAGCCCTGTTCTTGCCCAGCCGTAAGGAGACGACTACGCCCAACCCTTCTTGCCGTAATGATATGGCGTTGATGATATAAATCCTGCATCACCCAGAATGAGGAATATACCATAATTACCATTATGGTTCAGGGTCCGTAAGGTAACGCAGGATTTATCTCGTATTATCCAACACCCGTGACCCTTTCTGCGTCGCGGGTTTAGGGCTGCAGGGTTCTGCAGCTTAAAGGGAACTCCAGAAAGTTGGAATATGGTTTCAGGGTAGGATACCTTATAATTTACCTTAAAGGGGTTACGATAATGATATTCCAACTTTCTGGCTTCTACCCTAAATAATATAGTACCCCAAATAGTAGGATCCTTATGATAAGGACCCCAAAATAAGGTACCCCTAAATTTCGGAAACTCCCATAGGGGTTTAGGGTTTGCCCTGACACTTTCCAGGATCCTGCTCTCTGAGGATGGATACCTTGCAAAAGCCAGTTAGATAGAAGCTACATACTTGTCAATACAATACTGGCTGTTCCTTTAAGGGTTCCTTTAAAGGGATCCTTTAAGGGCTCCTTTAAAGGGATCTATAGGGTTTAGGGTTTAGGGAGTTTCCGAAAACTAGGGGTACCTTGCTTGGGGGTCCCTATAATGAGGATCCTACTATTTGGGGTACTATATTAGGGTCCCCTGTTTTCGGAAACTCCCACATAGTTGTCAATATTATTCCATAGGGTTCCTTGCTATACTTATAGCGTGATGTACACCAGAACCGTAGTTTAACCATCACGGCCCCTAAAGTACCTCGCCAAGCCCCTGACGCTTTAGGGGACCATTCTTGGCTCGAGAAGTCCAGCAAGGCTGTAGGACGTTCCTCAACCCTGAACTCTAAACCCCCAAATCTTAGACAGTGAACGGGGTAACTTAAACCTTGTTGCCCTCATATATCTTAGAAAGTTTGAACTCTATACCCCGAATCTGAGTAGCTGAGTACGTAGGTAACTTTTTTAGAGTTTAGGCTTTAGGGTTTAGGACCTTACGAAACCTTTAGGCTTTGGGGGTTTATATAACCCTACCATGATTGAGAAGGTTAATAACCCTTTTTGGGCTAGGGTACCTAGCCCCTGTGCCCTAAACCCTAAACCCCTAAACCCTAAGCCCCCAAACCCTACAAACCGGCTCTTTCAATGATTCCTTCTTGGGTTCCTTCAAGGATACTAAGCCCCTAAACCCCAAACCCTACAACCCCCCAAACCCTAGAAACCCTAAACCCTAAAGGGCTCTTTTAACGTTTCCTTTGAGAATTCAGAGCCCCTACTTACAGGATCATGGGGCTTACTAAGTAGGATTATAAGCAAGGTAACTATAGTTATTTGAAATTATGACCTTAAATAAAGTACTTATAAGCCGACTTACTAAGTCCCATGATCCTTCAAGTAAGTTAATTTCAGGAACAGGTTGAAGTTGAAGAACCTCTAGGTCCTAACCCTTTCTGGGCTACAGTAGACCCCATAAAGCTGGAAACGAGGTTAAGGCCAAATAGTGCTGGGATTCCCTACACATTACTCTTAAGGATTGAGGCTATGGGATTTCCAACTTTTGGCCTTCTACTGTAGAGTAAAGCACCTAAACCCTATATCCCTAAACACTAAACCCCTAAACCCTAAACCCTAAGCCCTAAGCCCTACTGCAGGGTACTCAGCCCCTACAGTAGAAGCCAGAAAGTTGGAATATCATTATTACAATCCCTTTAAGGTAAATTATAGGGGATCCTGCCATTATTCCGTATTCCAACTTTCTAGAGTTCCCTGTATCTCTTTGGGGTCCTTATAATAAGGATCCTACTATTTAGGGTACTATATTAGGGTCCCCTTTCTGTGTTCCTTTTAAGGAGACATTTTTTTGAGAGCCGAGGCAAGGCTGCTCTGTCGCAGAGTCTCTTCGTGAACGTGGCTTGCCTGGTTTCAGGGGTACTTTTGAAATAGTCTTCGCTACCGAAATCTCTAAGAAACAGCCAAATTCACAAGTCTTCTAGAAAATCGTCTTGAAATTCTGGTTAATTACCAAAGTCCTTCAGAAAAGCCAGAGTGACAATTTATGCTTTTTGGGTCTAAGTTCGGTATAGGTTGAGGGGCTGCTCAGGTTGGAGGGCCTTGAGGTTCGGGAAAGAATCCATACGGCTGATGGACAAAATCCTAGGGTTCCTTTAAAGGGATCTATAGTGGGTACCTTTAAGGGGGTTCGGTTGGTGATATAAATCCTGCATGACCCTACTACTAGTTGCTTAAGAACCCCCAAAAAATAAAAAAAAAAAATAATCCCTATATTATCCCTATAAGGAATATATTTTTTATTTTTTGGGGGGTTCTTAAGCAAATAGTAGCCTAAGGACTCTGAACTATGGGAATTATGGTATATTCCTTATAATGGGTAATGCAGGATTTTGTCCATCAACCGTATTTTGGGATTTCGGGTACAGGGCTTTTCTTTCTTCCCAGACCCAGATGCAGACATTGTCCTTCCAAAGCTCTAAAACCCTAAAGTTCAAACGCTCATTAAAATTGCCCTCACGTGCTGGATCCATGGCCCCAGCAACAGAATCTAGCATGCTCTAAACCCTAAACCCTTTATAGAACCCTTATAGATCCCTTAAAGGAACCCTTATGGATCCCCGGGATGTAGAGGTTTGTGTTTGTGAGATAGAAAGGTCGAGAGAGGAGTGTCCGAAAACAGGGGACCCTAAATATGAATCCCTAAATGGTAGGATCCTCATCGTAAGGACCCAAAATAGGGTACCCTCAATTTTCGGAAACTCCCATATTATTCTTCCGAGAGAGGCCATCCCATGGAAGCATGTCTAAACTTGTAGCTAGACTACAGTAGGTGGGGATTTGGGAAACTTGTTGATTTCCCTTATGGTTCCTATACAAGTACCTATTCATAAATACTTTTCAGAGCCCCAAAACTGCAACCCAGTTAGAGCGAGAACCAACACTATCTGAAACCATGCACTGGTCGTGTATGTTTTGTGGCTGTTGGGGTTCCTTTACAGGTATCCTTATTCAGGGCTCCTATATAAGGGATTATGTTCCCCTATTTTCGGAAACTCCCAGAAAAGGAACCCTTAGAAGGGACCCTTACTCTTATTCCTGTATATAATAACCCGCATATACCTCCTTTAGTCCCTTGAGATACCCAGGAGTCCAGCTGCAACTTTCATGTACAACCACCAGGTGAAGGTTTACAAAGCTTGCATCGCAACTTTCCATGTTCTGCAAAGCTTGGAACAGGGCTTTAAAGACGACCCAAGGCGTTTACATAAAACCTCTCACCCGAAGCTTTGCCAGGAAACGCCAAACCCGAATCCTTAAAACCCGGAACTACAAAGCCCTCAAGGCCCCACATCCCTAAGGTATGAGGGCAATGATGTTCCAACTTTCTGGCTTCTACTATACTCTTCATAGAAGCCATAAAAGAACCTATATATATATATATATATATATATATATATGCTTATTCAGCCCCTGTAAGGTAAAAGCCAGAAAGTTGGAAGATTATCCTAAGCCTTCTATGGTAAATTATAGGGTATCCTACCATGAAACCATCTTCCAACTTTCTGGAGTTCCCTGTAGAGCCTTAAAGCCTCAGAGCACTCACACCCTAAAGCCCGAGACCCGAAACCCCCAAAATCCCGCACTCTACAGATCCCTAGCAGTGGGACTCAGTACATAGGGTTATAACTTACTCTTATCCCGACTTACTACGTGCCCTGATCCTTTACCCTAAACCCCCGAACTCTAAACCCTAAACCATAGGCCATTATAAGGGTCGTTCTCTAAATTAGGGTCCCCTTTTAGGTCCCCAATATAGTACGGCACCCTTATAGAAAGGACCCCAGAAGGGGACCGTAATTGAGAAAATTATACGGCATCTTTGCTATAAGCCTTTGTAAGGTAGGGTTCCTTATTATGATTTCCTTATGTAGGTCCTTAGAAAGGTAGGCTATTCGTTAAGGTAATCCCTAAACGCTGTGCCCTATGCCCTTTTTATAAGTAGAAAGAGGACTGGAATCCCTGGAGCCTTGTCGGGAATGGCGGCGTCGAAGGTCGGGATCCCGGGCTCGGAGCAGGCTTTCCTTAGAGGATCATGGGACCGAGTCAGGTTCCTTAAAGGGCTCGTTAAAGAGATCTATAGGGTACCTCTAAGGGATCTATAGGGGTACTATAAGGGTTTAGGGTTTAGGGTCTACTTGGAGGATCATGGGACGTAGTAAGTAGCTTTATACGTAGGCTAGTTGGTGATCTCAGTAGATATAACTACAGTTACCTTGCTTATAACCCTACTTACTAAGTCCCATGATCCACTAAGCAGGGTTGAGTTTGGGGCTTGGGGCTTAGGGTTTGGGGGTTCTGACTCACATGCTTGGAGGAGCGGGTGACTTAGTAGGTAACATGGGGCTTTCCGAAATTAGGGAACTCAAACATGGTACCCTAAATAGCAGGATCCTTCTTACTAGAATCCCAAAATAAGGTACCCCTAATTTTCGGAAACTCCCAAAGCACGGCTCTTAAGTGGTACCCCGTTAGTCCGGGCTTGGAGATCCAGCCTTACAGGCTTCAGGGTTTAGGGTTTAGGGATTTGGGTTTTAGGGGTTTAGGGTTTAGGGCTTAGGGGCTTAGGGGTTTAGGGTTCGGGTTCAGGGTTTAGGGTTTAGGAAACTCCCATATGGGCGGTTGTCAAAATCATGGTCCCTTGCTGGGCCCCTATTATAATACGGCACCTATAATCTAGGGTACCCAAAAAGGGGCCATAATTTTGACAACTACTGCCCATATAGCATAACGTAGGGTTTCTATATTACGAACTACTGCTTATGGTTTGGGAAAGTATATCCCCTAACAGTACCTACAACCCTTTGGAGTTAGAAGCCCGAAGCCAGACTTTAAAGACCCTAAACCCTAAAGACCCGAAACCCTAAAGACCCTAAACCCTAGCCCTAAAGACCCTAAACCCTGAACCGTCATACGGTTGATGATACAAATCCTGCATTACCCATAATAAGGAATATACCATAATTCCCATAGTTTAGGGTCCTTAAGGTCATGCAGGATTTATACCATCAACCCTAAACCCTATAGATCCCTTAAAGGAAGCCCTTAAAGGTACCCATATAGATCCCTTTAAAGGAACCCTGGGATTTTGTCCATCAGCCGTATGTAGAGTTAGAAGCCCGAAGCCAAACTTCGAAAATCGTCGCAGGCGCCTCCCGGCTCGGCGCTGCATCGGCGCTGCCCGTCCTTTGCCCCGCGGCGTTCATCATTCGGCTCAGGGGATGTGGGAGTTTCCGAGAATTAGGGGTACCTTATTTTGGGGTCCTTATAATAAGGATCCTAATATTTAGGGTACTATTTTAGGGTCCCCTATTTTCGGAAACTGCCATGTAGGAGTTTGGGGGGGGGTTTAGGACTTTTGGGGCTTAGGGATATAGGCTTTTTGTGGTTTAATTAGGGATCTAGGATTTTGGGGTGGTTTAGGGATTTAGGATTTTTTGGGGTTTAGGGATTTAGGATTTTTGGGGTTTAGGGATTTTGGATTTTGGGGTATAGGGTTTAGGGTGTGGGGATTTAGGGTTTGGTGTTTAGGGATTTGGGGTTTAGGGTTTGGGGCTTTAGGGTTTAGGGATTTAGGGTTTCAGGATTTAGGGCTTGGGGTCTAGGGATTTATAGGGTTAGTTACAGGGTCTAGGTTTTTAAGAATTTAGGGATTTAGCGTTTTAGGGTTTTAGGGTTTAGGGTTTACGGTTCAGGCTTTTGGGTTTGCGGTGTTGGGTTTTGGATTTAGGGTTTTAATTCCCGTGGGCTTGGAGGACCACCCCAAGGGTCTATGTACCTTACCGCACACAATTTGTTGCTAAAGTCACTGTATACAAACCTTGGCAAGGCTAAGGTGAAAAACTATCAATGCACATGAACTCTTAGGGTTTGGAACTCCGTAGGTTCCGGTGTGGCTTTTGGAGCGTTGTGGTTGACCTTCGGTGTCTCGTGCCACGGCAGATGCTCAGGACTCAAATCATGAACTCCCTAAACAGTGTTCTTGCCAGGGATTTAGATAAAGTTATTTGCTATAGATCTCCCATGAAACTAAAACTATCGAGAATTCAATAACATCGAGTTGTGTGGTTGACGGTCTCTAGAACTTCAATTACATAATTGTCAAACGGTTTAGCTTGCTCGCTGGGTGAATTTCTGACACTAGGTCGTCCCTTAAGCCCTGTGTCTTGCGATCGGGGTGCAAGTTGGAGAACTGCTCCTTTGTGCATTGCTGTGCAGTGGATGTGGGGGGAAAACCCTGTGGGGAAGACCACCCTGCATTTATGCATAAGTGAGGAAGCTTCATCTTTGAGGGGGCGGAAGATGAGGCGGTCGCCGTGGAGCCTCCTGCACCTGAGGTGCGAGTCGCAGCTACTGCTGGACATACATCCACGTCCAATGAGGAGATGTTGTCAATTCTTCAGGACGCCCTGTCAGAGCCTATGCAAAACTAGAGGGCTCATGCATTAGAGAACACGTCGAGTTCAGCTGCCTACTACAATTTAGGCGCTTTCAGTCAGTCCATTCGACGCGGCATTACAAATGCCTCGTACAGGTACCACAACATTCTGTGCGGTTGAACGCGTGGCTCTCGATGCTATTTCCATTTAGGAACTTGGACATCATTGTGCGTGTCGCACAATGAAACACTTCGCTTACATCAGGACTTGACAAACGAGGAGAACACGCTGAACTTCACAGTTGCATTGGGTGACTTTACTGGTGGCGGATTGCTGCTGGAGTCCGCTTCAGGTGATAGGGAGCTTTGGGTCCCGGAATTTAACAAGCACTTGCATTCTACAGTTTGCGATACTCGTGCAGAGCCGCTTTCTTTCATGGGGATCCTATAACACTACTTAGAGGATCATGGAGCTTAGTAAGCAGGGTTGTAAGTAAGGTAGCTATAGTTATATCTACTGATAACCCTAATTAAAGTACTTATAACCCTACTTACTAAGTACCATGATCCTCTAAGTACCGACCCACGACCCTAATTAAGTTCATAAAACACGATCCAAAGGAGGAGTCCCAGTGTAGCCGGGATCTTCTGCTTAGAGGGTCATTGGACTCAGTAGGTGATCCATGGACCCAGAGAGCCCAATACCCCTTAATTAATGACTATGGCTTAAACTATATAGGGCTTCAGATTCTGATTTAAGCCATATTCCTTAATTAAGGGGTATTGGGCTCTCTGGGGAAGGAACCCCATTCTAGTTATGCGCCATAGATTACAAAGGTGGATCGAATGTCTGTGGGGCGGAAGCGTCTCTGCACAAGTAACCTCCCGGATAGGGATTTAGCCGTGTTGAACGAGGCTGCTTGCAGGGTCAGGGGAGTTAGTAAGTAGAGATATAAGTAGGGTAACTATAGTTATATCTACTTATAACCCTAAGTGTGGTACTTATAACCCTAGTTACTAAGTCCCCTGATCCTCCAAGTGCCTTCAGCACTAGCCAGCTGCATGAACCACGCCGGCCTCTTGCACCTACCCAGGGAGCCCAACATCCTTTAATTAAGGAATATGGCTTACATAATATAGGTCTTCATATTATGATTTAAGCTACTATATTCCTTAATTCAGGGGTTATTGGGCTCTCTGGGCGTTTGGTCTGAACCCTCAGGGTGTTGGCAACGTCCATCTCTTAGAGACCCCGCACTTCCATACATCCTCAACCCGTCCGCGGCTTCTGGCGACAACTTGCGCGACGTGGCGACCTTGCAAGCAAACTTCTCCAAGGCGCCGGCCATGCCACAGGTAGAACACACCTGCAACATCGTCGTCGCATTCGAAGAAACGGTCTGGTTCCCGCACTACTCCCTTGTCTACCTGCCGCAAGTGCCACAAATGTCGGTGGCGCCGCAGACAGTCCGAGAACACGGCTCCGGCGACGGAGCGGTGTGCGACAGAAGTCCGGCTTTCCGAGCTCGCACAGGAGACCGCGCACTACCTCGTTAAGAGATCGGACACCCCTACTTGGAGGATCATGGGACTTAGTAACTATAGGGTTAGAAGTACCTTAATTAGGGTTATAAGTAGATATAACTATAACTACTTTACTTATAACCCTACTTACTAAACTCTAAACCCTTATAGTACCCCTACAGATCACTTCATGGAGCCCTTTAAGGAACTCTACTTACTAAGTCCCCTGATCCTCTAAGTAGCCCTTACCGGGTTTCGAGCCTCAAGCCGCGCCTCCGCTGACCTGCGGCTGGGCCAAGGATACTCTGCAGTCCTGCAGCTTTGCTTCCAGAGAGCCCAATACCCCTTAATTAAGGAATATGGCTTAAATTATGTAGGGCTTCATTTTATGGTTTAAGCCATATTCCTTAATCAAGGGGTATTGGGCTCTCTGGGATTATACTCTGCAGTCCTGCAGCTTTGCTTAGTCTTGGGTTTGGAATACCATACTTGAATACTTCATTTTGGTACCTGGTTCCTTAAAGGAACCATTATGAATTAACAGTCTATACTCTTTTCTCCCTGGTTATTTCTGCGTCCAGTAGTGCGCTTTTGTTCATATCAACATAAAACTCCAAGGGGCAACACCTACCCAAACCTACTTTTGTAAATCCCTACAAATCTATATCAGGATTCCTGGTTAGAACTGAAAATCAATAAATACTGTTGATGATATAAATCGTGCATGACTGTGGGTCAGCCCATCATGTATCGTCAAAGCAGTTGCATCCCCGCGCCCCTAAATTTCAATGTTGATGTCAGAGGGGAGGTCATGCAGGATTTATATCATTCGCACGGTCCTATCAGAGCACGTCCGCCTGCGACAATGTTAAAATTCAGGGGTTCAAGGGGAGCGGCCTGTGTCTTACAAACTCATGCAGGATTTATATCATCCACCGTAGTGCCCCTATGTATACTTTTTGGGCACCCGGACGATTAGAGTTGTATAACCCGAAACCCGAGACCCTGAACTCAAGGCCTTGAAGACCCACCGTGAACCTGAAATCCTAAGCCAGTATACCCAAAGCCCTGAGCCCTAAAGCCCAAAAAAAACGCCCCAAAACTAAAAAACTAATCCGAGTTTGCTGGTTCAGAGGCTGGCCCATGACGAATCCGTTTCTGCGCTACCAGGCAGCCGCAATCAGAGGGGTTTCGGGTGGTGTTTTTCCCTGCCATAGGGGCCTTACTAGTTCTAAACGGGGCTCCTTGAAAGGATTTCGTTAAAAGAGGTTCCACAAAGGGTTGCAGTGAAGGTTCTAACAGGGCTTAGTGTAGCAGCTTCAACAACTAAAACAGGGTGTTGGGGTGTAATAGAGTACTCGAGTAGTTAAACAGAAGAAACACACAACAAACCTATTCTAGATAGGCCTTTGGGATATTTTCTATTTTTCCTTTTGGTTTAGTAGGACCCTAATTTCGAATATTTTTCAGAGGCTTTAAAGGGCCAACCTAGTATTCTAGTATAGGTAAGGCTCATGCACTACACCTCGTTTCGGCAGCCCAGCACCCCTAAAGAAGATATGTCCGGAGAGAAGCTTGACAAGGACCACGGGGTTCTGGAGTACCATACGTTGATATTTTTTCTGAACCTGTTTCTTAAAGGAGAACCAGTGCTCCAAAATTCTGTAAACTTCGGAAAACTGCGGAACATCTCTCAACTTAGACTGCTTAGTTAAGGAGTCTGGGGTAGAGAAACCCTAACCCCTAAACCCCAAACCTTAAACCCTAAACCCCTTAGAAAGGCAAGGTTCGGGCAAGCATGGGCCCCAATCACTCCACAATGGGACTACGGGTCCCCCACAGGAGTGCCGTATGTTGAAGGGTTGCCGGATGAGTTTAAGCCAGACAAAACTCATCTAGACTCCAAGGAGATCTACGGTAAGACCATGTTGAGACGCGTAGCGGCTGCAAGCTGGGCGTCAAAATGCAGACTGGCAGGCCGTGAGCTTGCTGATTTTCGGTTAGCTTACTTATGATGGAAGAGATGGAGAAACAACACACCTCCGCGCGCACAGCCACGGACAATATGTTTCGCTAGTGACGGCGCGTCGTGTGAGTGAGTCTGTGCTCACGTCTCTTTTTCTCAGCACTGTCAGAGAGAACCGTTGGGACCTCCATGAGATCTCCAACGAATACTGTAAGCAGAACCCAGACAAAGTCTCTCTGAAGAGTTCCATGAGTTCTGATGAAGTAAAAGCCGCCAAGACGCTTGCATTGTCTAACCACATCATCGACACCCTTCGTCCTTTTGCGGTAAGGCCAACAGCTTCGTCATCTTCTGAAGATCAGAGTCAACTCATTGCAGACCTTCAGGCCCAACTACCCAGAGACTCCAATGTCCCTTAATTAAGGAATATTCTTTAAATCATATTAGGGATCCTACTATAGTTTAAGGAATATTCCTTAATTAAGGGATATTGGAGCCTCTGGGTAGAGGCTGAAAAGGCCAAGAACTCCGCCTCGAGCCCCCCAGCCATGAGTCAGCCTCCTGCGAAGTTTAGGGTTTACTTAGGGGATTACGGGACTTAGTAAGTAGGGTTAAAAGCAAGGTAACTGTAGTTATATCTACTTATACCCCCAATTAAGGTACTTATAACCCGGGACGAACTGAGTCCCATGCGCTTCCAAGTAGACCTTAGACCATTAAAGTACCCCTCGACTCTGGATGCCTGGTAGGGATCATACCAATACCCAGTATACAAGGCTATAAGGGCTCTAGTAACGGGTACTTGGGGAGTCCTGGTACGGCCAAAGCCATGAGCCTAAACCCAGCCCGCAAAACCTTCAAAGCTAATGCTCGGACGCCCAACCTGACAGACCCTCCCAGAGAGCCCAATACCTCGTAATCAAGGAATACGGCTTAAATCATATAGGGTTTCATATTTTGATTACAGCTCTCCGGGCTTGCTTAAGCTTGAATGTAGGCCTAGCAGAGAACCCTGAGCAGTAGGATCCTTATGATAAGGATACCCCCAATATCAGATCCTTATTATGAGTGTCCGATCCTGAATATAACGGCCCATGAATACGAGGATCCTTATTATGAAGACCTACAGATAGTAGATTCCTTATCATACGGACCCCTGAAATGCACCCCTAATTTTCAACCCTACACGCCCTAAAGACCTCACGCCCTCAACCCCTCAATGTCCCAAGCCCCAAACACTAAGCCCTAAACGCCCTAAGCCCTACCTGTAGGCTCACACCCTGCCCTTTTTTAGGTTACCTACTTTTCGATATAGCAGACCTTAACTAAAGAACTAGGTACCGAAGAAAGGGTTAGGGTACGAGCCTACAGGTAGACCCTATTCCAAATCGAAAATGTTGGCTGCACAGAGGCCCTCAGCTTCCCCTTCGAGTCCCCAGACGTCACGAAGACGTCCTCGGCGACTCCCTCCGAGGAGCCTTGGACCGTTTTAGGGTAGAGGGTTTCTTCAGACCTTCAGTTAAGGGCTACATTTTAGGGTTTAGGGTTTAGGGTTTTTACTTTTTAAATAGGGTTGAGGGTTTCTTACGAACATCAGTCCGGGGGGGGCTTGAGGGTTCTATACGTGTTCTATAAGGGGTCTGTGTGGATCTTGTATCAAAGGGGAACAGGAGGGACCCCTTAGTGGGGACCCCCCCTATAATGGGCTATATAATGGGTATATAATAGCTAGACTAAGGGTATCTACCTAGGAGTCCTTATTAAGGGTCCCTCCTTTTACCCTTGGAGTGTAGGGTCTAGAGGTTTGGGTTCAGAGCTCCCTGGCACCAAGAAGCTCAAGCCTTGACTAGCGGCTGAAAGAGGTGGTACCTTGAACTACTGTTGATGATATAAATGCTGCAAGCCTAAACTATGGGGATTATGGTATATTCCTTATTATGGGTAATGCAGGATTTATATCATCAACCGTACCAAAACCTAGGGTCCTGAGTAGTAGCCTTCAAGGGTTCATTAGGGGCTTCTTGAAGGGTATTTTAAGGGATCTATGGGGGGTTTAGGGTCCAGTAGGTTCCTGGGTAGAACCCTTTTGAAGTTTCTATCCTAGGGTCGCCTTACTAGAACAGAATGCTAGGAAGAAGGGTACCCTCATTATAATGGGGCTGCTCAGGAATAGAGGGGGTAATTGCCTGGAAAACATTTCGGCGTTTGAGAGCAGGCGAAGAAGCCGCCTCCTCCTTCTCCTCCTCCTCCTCCATCGGCGACCCTGGAGGCGACCCGTGTGCTACTATGTTGGGGGTTCCTTATTATAATTACAGTATAATGGGCGCCATAACCTTATTTTACTTATTAAGGCCACTACATTACTCTTTCGCATGGGGCCCGAAACCGAAATGGCAGGTAAAGAGTTTTTAGGCGCCAAGAGCACTGTTCCAATTATCTGGGCCACTTTTGACCCTTTCGTTGAGCAAGATCAATGCACTGACTCCTATGCCGTAGAGATTTCTTTTCCGTATAGTTAGCTCTGCAGGAGCACCATCCCGGGCTTGAGGGCTTCAGATCTCTGGCATGTTGCTAAACTTGGCCGGTGGTTACCTTTTTTGGTTGACTCCCCCTAAACCCTAAAGCCTAAACCCCAAAGGTTTAGGGTTACTGGTGTCTGGGAATTTCTATGATATGGGTGGTTGTCAAAATTAGGGTCCCTTTTTGGGTCCCTATTATAATACGGCACCTTATATTTAGGGTACCCAAAAAGGGACCATAATATTGACAACTACCCATATGTTAGTTGCTTACCTTCTTCGGGGAATGGAGATCAGGGCTTCGGGTTTTGGATTCAGGGTTTAGGATTTAGGGTCTAGGGTTTGGGGGGGGGGGGTTCGGGTAGTTGGGGCTGTGAGGGCTTCGTAGTCGTAGCAGTTGCGTTCGCGAGCCGTAAAGCTCTCCGTCCGGATTGTAGAATTGACCTGAACCCCAAGTAGACTACCTTTTTGAGGACTTATATAAAGAAATCATATGAGGGAACCCCAAAAAGGTAGGTTCCTTGGGGTCCAGGTAAACCCATCAACCCTAAACCCTTCAACCCCACGCTCCCTGCAATGGAGCTGAAGGTTTTCGACTAGCACAAGCGGTTCTCCGGAGACCCAAAACTGCCTGTGTGAGGAGTTTATGGGATTAGGGATTTAAAGGTGGAGGGCTTAGGTATGCCCGGAATTACTTTTGCGGTGTGGGTCAGCATCCCTCATATATGAGCGCTCAGCATGAAGATAGCCTAAACGTCACGTCTACTTCAGGCTTAGACACTGTGGAGCATAGCAAGTCCGTCCGAGGTCTTCTTCACAAATAGGATTCTTCCGGTTATAAATCCACTGTGTTTTAAATCTGGGAACCCTAAACCCCGAACCCGAATCCAAAAGTGGGGTTCAACGTTTGACAGAAAGTCATGATCTTCTCAACCACAGCACCTTGGGCGCTTGAGTCCTGAACTCTGACACAGGAGCCTCGACCATCAGGGTATGCCTTCATGGAGACATGAAAGTTTTTGATATTTACAACCAGAGGGTGATTCTTAAGCCCTCCAGCATAACATACACTTTGGTAGTCAGGCTACGAAGGGGGTTACACAGTAAATCGCAGCAAACCATGTACGGATTGCGATTGTGCTTTCATGGTTTTGTGCGCGCATGTGCGCGCTTGTTATGTTGTTGTAAATCCTTGTCGTCGGAGCAGTAAGTCAGTAGGTTAGGCATTTAAGTGACCCACGACGGCGAGATAGCTCCCTCTTCTGCGGGCATGAACAATGGCAGCAGTGCTGCTGCCTCCTCTTGGTTGCTCCACTTTGCAGAATCTGGTTGCACAATCACAGCTATGAGGAGATGTAACCATAGTTGCCTTGCTTGTAATACTAAGTTCCTGATTCTCTACCTAGAGGCTCATACCCTGTCCTTTTTGAGGGTACCCATTTTTCTGTACAGCAGTTCCTAACCAGAAAACTCGGTACTCCTCAAAAGGGGCAGGGTAGACAAGAGGCTTGAATTGAAATGCCGTAAATATCCCCCTGATCGTCACTCTAAACACGATTCTTACTAGAATCCACCCCAAAACCCTCTTCTAATCACCATAATGTTCAACCCCAAAACCCGGGTTTTTGAACCTTTTAAAACCCCCTGGAGCCTTCCCAGAGACTCCAATATCCCTTAATTAAAGAATATTCCTTAAATCATATTAGGGATCCTGTTGTAAGTTAAGGCATATTCCTTAATTAAGGGATATTGCAGTCTCTGGGTTGTAAGACCATGCCGGAGGCGCCTGAAGACCTCCTGGGCATGCTGGGGGCCTCAGTGCAATCCGCCTTAACCTTCGAAGTACCCAGAGCCTCCAAAACCCCGTAAGTAGGGAAGATACCCGAAATCATATAAGGGGTCCTATTATAATTTAAGGTATATTCCTTAACTAAGGGGTTTTGGAGGCTCTGGGTACCCTGAACGGAACTTTAAAGGAACCCTAACCCCTAAAGGGTAACCTGAGGGGTTCCTCCATGGGCTTCCTTCATGGGGCTCGTTTACGGGTTCCCTTCATGATACTTCGTGAATGAATATTCGGTAGATTCCTTGGTTACGAGTTCTTAGAGTTTCTGGCAGGTTATGGGTGTGGGACTTGCGGGCCTGGGTTTAAGCTGGATTTCGCTTTGGTGTTTTAGTGCTTGGGGCTCTAGTCTTGCAGAGACTCCAATATCCCTTAATAAAAAAGGAATACTCCTTAAATCATATTAGGGATCCTACTGTAATTTGAGGTATATTCTTTAATTAAGGGATCTTGGAGTCTCTAGGCTAGTTGCGGGAGGTCGGGGCGGCTTCGACAGCCAAGGCCGAAGATTGCAGCAAACCGTAATATAAATTACCTGTATTATTTTTGGGGCTCTGTCTTATACTTATAGCATAATGGGCCCCAAAACCCTATTCTAATTATTAAGTTGTCCACAATTCGTTATAGCGCGTGTCTCCACTTGGAGTAGCGGTCCTTTGCCAGGGGCCCCAAGTAAAGGGCAATAGTGGAGTTTTTGGGGTTTCAGTTCATGGCTGGCACTTTTTATAGGGTTTAGGGTGTTGGGGGCCTAGATCTAAGTTTTGAGTTCAGACAATGGGATTCCGAGCACGCGTTTAGAGAGAAGGATGCAAGCTAACACAGGATAATTATTGAGTTCGCACAGTTCCAATCCGAAATGAAAGCGGCAGGTCCGTGGGGATAGAACGGTGTGCGCACACACGCACACACATGCATCCACATGTGAATCAGCACGCACTGTGCCACCATGCACTGTCATTGCAGACGTTACTTCCTGAGATGCCGCATTTTGAATACGTGGTGCTTTTTTAACCTGAACATGGTGTGTGTTGCGGTTTGGTTTCTGTGCAATCAGCATTGTTTACTTGAATTTGTGCCTGTTCCAAGTTATTTCGCCTTGGTGGTATGTCGGTAGTTCTCCAGAGTGGGTGCCGTACTATTTGGGAAACCTTAATAGAGAACCTATATAACTTGGAGAACTACCCATGTCATGTTCAATTGGGGTCAGCATGGCTTAGCCTAGAATAAATCCATCGCACTTCCGATGCATCTCGGGGCTTACTTTTGGCTCCAAGTCAATCGTTTCGCCATCATTTCAAGGAGGGGCTCAAGAAGACTTCGGTATTTCAAGCCACTCAGAGACTTAAGTTGCCGGTCAGTTTTCATAAACCGCAAATGCTGAAGCCGTATTTCTACCTTAAGGCTTAAAGTGTACACATATTGCAGACTCTGGGGCATTTTGGTGATGTGGTGTTAAAGTGAGTTCGACTACAGATTCGGTTGAGTCGAATTCGAACTGTGATAAATCGAAATGTTTACCAAGTTTGCCTTTGACCTTGCAAGACTTTCTTTGTGCTCGAAGTTTCAGGCGTGGAAATTTGACCTTGAACGCACAAGCCAATAAGGCAAAAGCTCGAGTACAAGCTACTCCTGGAAGCACCCGGGAACCTTGAACCTTTGTAGGCTCCTAGGATAGCCAGCTGGGATAGCCCAATGATAGGCTACTTAAGGCGCAACACCCGTGGACCACGGACCTTTGAAACGCAGCTGCCCGAATGGCACCTGAAAGCCCTACATAAACCGTTAGCCCGCAACATACCACTTCGGCACCCATCGCTCAGGGCCGTGGCGAATGGTGCAGAGCTAAGCGTCCGTGCTTTTGATATCCCAATTTTCAATTTAGGGCTGTGTTCCCACAGGGTCCGCCGATGGCGTGCCGCCTGGGGCTGCCGAGTTGCAAGGCAAGTTCTCAAAGGGGAGAAGGAGGGACCCCTTATAATGGGCTATATGATGGGTATATAATAGCTATATTAAGCGTATATACCTAGGGGTCCTTATTAAGGGTCCCTCCTTTTACCCTTGGAAATTCAGGACGGAGGTGGAATGGGGAATGGGAGCTGCAGTCTGAATCAGATCATACTACTAGTTGTGATTTCTTTGGAAAGCAAACACGCCAGAGCTTGGTATCCCAGCACCTCGTTTAGGGTATACATCTACAAACTGCAGGGTGATGCACGGATCGAGCGCATTTCGGCCAGGGAACACCGCAGATATGAGGGAGAGAATGCCACGGACAAAACAGGCTGTGCCCTAAACCCTAAACCCTCTGTGCCAGAATTTCGACGACCGCAAAACCCTAAACCCTAAACCCTAAACCCTAAACCCCAAAACCCTAAACCCTAAACCCTAAACCCTAAACCCCAAAACCCTAAACCCTAAACCCTAAACCCTAAACCCCAAAACCCTAAACCCTAAACCCTAACGGTTCCAGCTACTAGGCACTGGGCCTGTCGCAGTTCAGCCTGGTTGGAGGGTAGGGGGACGTACCCAGAGAGCCCCTAATCCCCTTAAGGAATACCTAGGGTTCCCTAACAAGGGCTCCTTAAAGGGATCCAGAAGGGTTCTATAAGGGAATTAAGGGATATGACTTAAATTATATAGGGCTTCAAATTTTGATTTAAGCTATATTCCTTAATTAAGGGGTAGTGGGCTCTCTAGGAAGTACTTAGGCAACAAGTAGAGATATAAGTTCCCTAGAAGGAACCCTGATCGGGGGTATGATACCTAGAACGCTAAAGGCTCAGTTGGGCCTAGATATGCTCCGTGGGTTCCACGAACAGGCTTAGCACTCGTGTTTGCTCTGGTTTGGGGTTTGTGCTTTGTGGTTTAGAGTTGAGAGCTCGGGACGAGGGCATGTAGTTGTGAATTGTTGTCTGTCCACTCCATACAGTCTGATCTAAGAATATAGGGGCCTTAATATTAGAGCCGGGCTTGGGGGTATATTATAGGGTTTGGGGTACATTATGCTACAGCTGTGATAAGGAACCCCCAAACCCCTATTCTAGTCATTGAAGGCCCCTACATTGTAGCATTAAGTTTTGCGGGATGGCGGATATCTGACCCGAGCTTGTTGACGAATCTGAGCAATAGACCACCCAGACTGAGGTTAGGCCCTTTTATATGGATCCTGTTGGTAGACCCTGTTTAAGACCTATAAAGCCCGAATCCCCGATCCCTAAACGTTGACCCCTAAACCCCAAAAGTTGAGCCCTGAACCCTAAATTTTGAAACCTGAACCTCAAAATTTGAGCCCTAACCCCTCAACCACCAAACCCTAGATGTTTTGAGGGGTCCTGTACCGGATCAGGTGACTTAGTAAGTAGTGTTATAAGTAAGGTAACTACGGTTATATCTACATAGAACCTTAATTCAAGCACTTACAGCCTTACTTACTAAGTCCCATGATCCTCTAAGTAGACCCTAAACCCTAAACCCTATAGATCCCTTTAAGGAGCCCTATAGATCCCCTTTAAGGAGCCCTTTAAGGAACTCTACTTACTCTAAGTAGCTGGACCTTTCCTCTACTAAGGTGCCATCAGCGAAGTCGGTGCCTCGCCCAAGGACTGCCGACTGCGGTTGATGTTAGGGCTTGGAGTTTGGGGATTTAGCGTTACCCATGGGTTACCATATGGATTCTTTAAAGGGATCTATAATAAGGTTTAGGGCTTGGGGTTTAGGAATTTAGCGTTACCCATGGGTTACCATAATATGATTATAAGGCTCAGGGCTAGGAGTCTGGGGATTTTAGCGCTACCCATCGGTTAACAGAAGGATTCCTTAAAAGGATCCGTAATAAGGCTTGGAGCTTGGGGATTTAGCGTTACCCATGGGTTACCATAAGGATTCTTCTAAAAGTATCTGTAACAAGGTTTAGGGTTTAGGAGTTTAGGGATTTAGCGTTACCCATGGGTAAACATAAGGATTCTTTAAAGGGATCTATAACAAGGCTTAGGGCTTGAAGTTTGGGGATTTTTGCGTTACCCATCGGTGAACATAAGGATTCCTTAAACGGATCTATTATCAGGTTTCGGGCTTTGGAATTTGGGGATTTTAGCGTTACCCATGGCTTACCACAAGGATTCTTTGAATGGAACTATAATAAAGTTTAGGGTTTTGGAGTTTGTGGTTTTTAGCGTTACCCATAGGTTACCATAAGGATTCCTTGAAAGGATACTTAATAAGGGTTTAGGGGTTTAGGGATTTAGCGTTACCTATGGGTTACCATAAGGGTTCTTTTAAAAGCATCTGTAACAAGGTTTAGGGTTTTGGAGTTTGGGGATTTAGCGTTACCCATGGGTTACCAAGGATTCCTTAGGAGGATCTATAATGAGGTTTTGGGTCTAGGGATCTAGGGTTACCAATGGGTTACCATAATGGTAACCATAAGGCCTACTATGATTCTGGAGTGCCTTACATTTGAGCTTTTTTGGCACTGAAAGGAACCTGTATGAAACCTTTTTTGTCCCTCTTATCTTCAAAGCCCAGTTAATATAGGAAGCAGAACTATAGGTTACAATGCCCCGAGGGGTAGAGGACGATATGTGCCCCAAACCCCATTCTAGTAGCAGGTAGGTGTGGGCGTTGAATGTAGGGCTACACCTAAATCCTAAACTGGTGGTGAGCAGCAATACCCAACATGCGAAAGGTCAAAACAGCCATGCGCACGTGAAGCACTTGACTCGAAAGACGAGAAGCCTTGCTTTGATTCTGAACATCTGTACGGACACCGACAATCTAAATGGGGTGCTGGGGCAAAGAAATCTTCAAGGGTTCTGTAGAGATTCTACAAATTACGGCTTTTTGGGGTGGATCTTCGTAGGCATTTAGAGCCTCATGATAAGCGTCCACTATGTGGGTGGTTGTCAATATTAGGGTCCCTTTTTGATTCGCGATTATAATACGGCGCCTAATATTTAGGGTACCCCAAAACGGACCATAATTTCGACAACCACCCATGTGTGGCGCAAGTTCTTGCCTCGATTGCAAGGAGACCCCGGAACCGCAACAGCAGCAGCAGCAGCAGCAGGAACGGTTTAGGGTTTAGGGCTTAGGGTTTAGGGTTTAGGGCACTTTTGTCTTTGAGGGCGTTCCGTCTCGGAGTTTCGGAGACAAGACGCAACCTATTCTGAGGGTTAGGGGACCCAGAGAGCCCAATACCCCTTAATTAAGGAATATGGCTTAAATCATAATATGAAGCCCTATATAATTTAAGCCATATTCCTTAATTACGGGGTATTGGGCTCTCTGGGGACGTAGCAAGAGCGTTTTCAGTTTCGCGTTTAGCTGATCCCAGGTTATGGTTGCACCCTAGTTCTTAAAGTGCCGCGCTGCTTTCTGCCGTGCGCATGTTCATGGCGTTCGTGTCAGCTACAGGTATATGGTATACCCTAGGGCCCTAGTTACCTGTAGCTCTACCTAAAGTCTCCATTGTAGTCACTTGTCTGGCTTCACCAACTTTATTTTGATGATACTGTAAGGGAACCAAAAAGCAATTACAGTGGAGATTATAGGTACTTAAACCAACATGCTAAGACATGGGGTCCTGCAAGTAGGTGGTGTATTCTGTAAGGTTACTTCCCAAACATTTGCGGTTTAGGGTTTAGGCTTCTCTGAGAGTCCTAACTTGGTCCCTGAGGGGTGCGTCTAGTTGTGGGCCTCTCCCTTGAAACCCGACACTAGGATACACGAGACGGGAGCTTAGTGCCTCTATATAAACGAAAATAGTGCCACGCAAGAGATCTGAAGAGATGGTTTAGGGGTGCTCCGGCACCCTACCAGTTTGTGGCCCAAACACGGAGGTTATCAAGGCAAAAAATCTGAAAGGTCACCTCAACTGCTTTCTGAGCTTCTGGGCCATTCCCAACAACCACGGCAACCGCGTCTCTGGCTACTCGAGACAGGTCTGGAAGAAGATGATTTCCGCTGGCGATAGAAAAAGTGATCAGTTGGGTTGTCAAAAGTGGAGAGCCGTTGAACTGGTGGGCAATCTGATGAGCACGTGCCTGAGTCTGGAAAAAAATTCCAGCGATACAGAATGATGAATGAGTCTATTCCCGTGGGTTCTCTACTGTAGTGATCACAATCCACCCCCCCTTTGCCCCCACACAGAAAACACGTCCAACCGCGTTATTCAGGCCTGCTATTATGCTTCGGCTGCTGGCCCCGTCTTGGAGGATCATGGGACTTAGTAAGTATGGATAGAAGTACATTAGTTGAGGTGTTAAGTAGATGTAACTCTACTTGGCTTACTTGTAACACTAGTTACTTGGTAAGTCCCATGATCCTCTAAGTCGTACCCTAAACCCTTATAGTACCCCTATAGATCCCTGTAAGGAACCCTACTTACTAAGTCCCATGATCCTCGAAGTAGTACCCTAAACCCTTTTAGCACCCCTATACATCCCTGTACGGAACCCTACTTACTAAGCCCCATGATCCTCGAAGTAGTACCCTAAACCCTTATAGCACCCCTATACATCCTTGTACGGAACCCTACTTACTAAGCCCCATGATCCTCGAAGTAGTACCCTAAACCCTTATAGCACCCCTATACATCCCTGTACGGAGCCCTACTTACTTAGCCCCATGATCCTCGAAGTAGTACCCTAAACCCCTATAGCACCCCTATACATTCCTGTACGGAACCCTACTTACTAAGCCCCATGATCCTCGAAGTAGTACCCTAAACCCTTATAGCACCCCTATACATCCCTGTACGGAACCCTACTTACTAAGTCCCATGATCCTCGAAGTAGTACCCTCAACCGTAAACCCGTATAGCACCCCTAAAGATCCCTGTACGGAACCCTACTTACTAAGTCCTATGAGCCTCGAAGTAGTACCTACAACCCTAAACCCTTATAGATCCCTGCACGAAACCCTACTTGCTAAGTCCCGTGATCCTCGAAGCAAGGGTTCCTTGAAGGGTTTCATAGGGGTTCTGCTATGGAGGCCTTTTGGCTAGTTTGAGGCTACCGTGGGGTTCTATAACAGGGATCTAAGTAGACCCTAAATCCTAAACCCTTTTGGCACCCTATAGATCCCTAAACCCTTACAGCACCCTATAGATTCCTAAAAGGAGCCCCTTAAAGAACCCCTACTTACTAAGCCCAATGATCAACGAATTAGAACCAACTTAGATAGTGAACGGGGGAACTTTAAACTTTTTGGCTTTATATATTAGCTCTATCATAGAAAGTTTGAACTTTTTCGGGCCCGGCTGTTGAAGAAGAGAGCAACGGGGTTCAGAATCCGGGCTTCGTTGTCATAGCTGGGCGACTTTTGGGGGTACTTAGACCCAAGAAGGAATAAACATTTGTGTTGGAGAAGAGAGCAAACCCCAAGAGTGCCAATGCCTTTCGCAGGCTTCAGATCTCCTGGATCTTCAGGACCCGCAGGTGCATCTTCCGGTTTAGGGCTTAGGGTTTTAGGGTTTAGGGGTTTAGGGTTTAGGGTCTGGGGTTCTTCATAAAAGGGCTCGGAATACTATAGGGGCCTTAAAAGGGTCAAGCATTACTATAAGGGGTATTGTGGGGGTAAAACCCTATTCTGAGATTAAGGCCCCGGTACTACTTAGGAGCACTGGTTTGGCGAGGGTTGTATGGGCTTTCTGAGGAGTTAATATAGAGCTCTGAATCACTGCTAGCCGGTTCTGAGGCATGTTGCAATGAGGACATGCCTCAGACGAGGACTAGATTGCAGAGACTTTCTATACACGGGTCTGAGTGATTAACAACATTATCCCGTCATATATGGGTGGTTGTCAAAATTATGGTCTCTTTTTGCGTCCCTAATATAGTACGGCACCTAATACTTAGGGTAGCCAAAAAGGGGCCATAATTTTCAGAAACCCGCGGGTCTAAGTACTTAATCAATCAAGATACTCGTGAATCTGCTCATAGTCTCATAGTGCTACGGTTGATGATATAAATCCTGCATTGCCTTAAGAACCCTAAACTATGGGAATTATAGGAAATTCCTTATTATGGGTAGTGCAGGATTTATCTCATCAACCGTCCCTTTCCTTGCCGTCCTCAAATCCCACGTTGCAACCGACTACCTAATCCACGGAGCTGCTTTTTACCCGGGCAGAAGCGCGCCCAGCCGGGGTCTAAGGATAGGAATGTAGTGTAGGGGTCGCAACAACTAGTCATATCATCATTCCTTTACAGCAGTCCGTATACGAGTATATAGTGCATGATACCCAAAACCCAATTTAAACTGTCAAGGCCTTCATATTGCTCGACATGCCGCGATCCGAACAACGAGAATCACGTTTCCCAACGAGAAGCGGGAAGACTCGATCAAAGGAAAGGAGACTCCATCCCAAAGTGGATCAACACCCCATTGCTCCTCCATGCCCGATCCAAATACACAGCGCGGGTGTGGGGGGGGGGGGGGGGGGGGCGAGACATTGACCGGCAGACAGCAGACTTGCTGGCTGATGGAGACAATTTTCGTTCCCCGCGATTTCTGGCTGTAGTGACTTCGTCTGCGAAGCCCAGCGTGTCCTAAAACGGGGCCTGGGCCCTAAACCCAACCCTAAACGGATCGGATCCGATTATCAGCGACATGGATCCTCGGCTACGAACCCACAGATATCTTGGCCCAGCTGTTGAATCGTAGGCTCGATCATGGATCCTTGCCACCCCCAGTCCTTTGTTTGGTGTTCTCTTAAACCCTCCGTTCTGAAACCCTAAACCCAAACTTTCTGTGTAGATTTACCTTAAACCCGAAACTAAATCAGTGCTTCATCTGGCAGGGCTCAGACCTCGGCGCCTTGCTGGAAGATGAGCCGCAGCGCATCTCTCAGCCACTGGGGAGGTTTTGGGTTTCGGTCTTCTTGGTTAGGGGGAGGGGGAAGGGAATTCAGAAGCTGTGGGCCTTGAGTTGTGCATTTGGGGTTTTAGGGCTTTTGAGGTTCATGCTTTGGGTTTGTAAGTCCCTGCAAAGAGGCTTCAGACTCATTCACTGCCTGGAGATAAACTATACTTGGAGATACACGATACTTGATAGAGTTGCGTTAAGCTAAGTTCCAAAAGCCACAGTCCAGGCAAAGCTTGTGGATCAAGACCATGGCCTTTTTGTAGCATACACCCCAACCCCTTGAACCCTAAAGCCTACACCTCTAGAGCCCCAAGCCCTGCACCCCGGCTGCCGCTTAAGCCCTAAACTCGGAACCATAAAACCCTAAACCCTAAATCTTAAAGCCCTACACCCTCAAGCCCTAAACGGGTTAGGGTTTAGGGACCCTAAACCTTTAAACCCTAAAACCCTAAACCTTAAAGCCCTAATCCTTGCTGTCAGAGCCTGGAGTCAGCCCAGTCAATCAGAGTGTGGGCCAGAGGCCCCAGTAGTTTACTCTGAGAGCCCAATACCCCTTAGTTGAGGAATATGGCTTAAATTATATAGGGCTTCAGATTATGAGTTAAGCTATATTCCTTAAGCAAGGGGTTTTGGGCTCTCTGGGCACTCTGTGTTGTCCTCCGATGTCCCTGGTGTGCTGGAAAGATAGACAAACTAGCGAAATTACTACGCTATAGCAAAGTTTGGTATACCCTGGTATCTTGTGGTATACTGTCTGCGTGACCGCGCAAGTGGGCAGAGGATCGACGCTTGATATTGCACATGCCACGAACCCTTGCCAAGGAACCATACCCAGATTTTCGGGAGGATCTAGAAAGTAGAACCCCTAATTTGGGACCCTCTACTACCAGGGGGTATTGTGTGGGAACCCCCTTAAGGGATCTACTTTTTGGATCCTCCCGGGGGTCTGGGTAATAAAGATAAAGTGATGCGGACTACTGCTGCTCAACGAACACATGCTTCAAGACCTTACTAGTGGTAGGATCCCCGGTTCGAACCCTGGAGCATTGGTTATTCATCAGCGGTCTACATGAAGCTGTTGAAGCTTGCTTTCAGGAATTCCTTCAGTCATGTTTTGGTTGTTACTGTGGAAATTTCACTCAGAGGGCGCCTAAGGGGAGGGGGAGGGGGGGGGGGGGGGGGGGGGGTAGGGGGCATTAATGCCCATACTAAGGACTTAATAAGGCCAATTGAAGGAAGGATAGTCCCCTACCCCCCTGCCCCAAAACCCCCTAAGGGCCCCTATGATTCACGACAAATCAGGCCGGCGCCGAACGGCCGCATGCTCAGCGGAACAGTGTTTTGCGTTCTACCGGACTGTACAAGAGCATGTTTTTGTTTAAGTTTGTTTTTACCTGCTGTGCGGTAACATGTTGCGTATGCTGCCGCTTGTGCTAGAGTTCATGCCTCAGTCTATCACAATTGTACAGTTCTACTAGGCGGATCATGGGACTTAGTAAGTAGGGTCATAAGTACCTTAGTTAGGGTTATAAGTAGATACAACTATACTTACCTTACTGACAACCCTAACTGCTTAGTAAGTCCCATGATCTTCCAAGTATGACGTCGAAGGTCTAACGGTCTAACCTAGGAGGGTACAGAGAGCCCAAACCCTCCAAGCAATGGAAATCGTTCCAGGGAAGCCCTGTCTTTCTGAATCTGACCTTAGGGTGTAGGGTTTTAGACTTTATGGTTTTAGGGTTTAGGGCTTTTAACCCACAAGAAACCCAAATCTTGAACCCTTAACCACTCAGCGACCCTAAATCCTAAAGCCCTGCACCGGAAACTAGACCCTCAACCCAGAACCCCGAGTGCTGAGCCATGGTTTACAAAAACAGCCTATCCCACAGACCGCGAGCCTTAGGGTTGAGGATTTAGGAGGTGTAGGATGCAGGGCCTTAGTGATGGTGTGCTGGTGGCTTTCTCGACGTTAACTTCCACGCGGGAACCCTGAACAACCACATTGCCATGCACTACCAGTTACTCGCGCCTGTGTGTGAGGCCCCGAAGTTCTTTAAAACCGAATGAAAGATGCAATACAACTGGAAGAGGTCAGGCTCCACCAGATCATGATTTATAGTCGCCAAGCCCCCAAAGCTGTGTGCTCATGCTACACACCTTAAACAACCACCTACTTCTTTTTGGGCTCTGAACATTAACCCTAAGAAAGAAATCATACGGACCCTGCAAAAAAGTAGGTTTGGGTAGTTCAAGGTACACAAAAATCCTCTCGGCTTCAAGTTTAGAAGTAGCACCGACTTCGGTGCGTAGCTGCTACAACTTGCCCAGGGTCCTACCATAAACCTAGGACGGTCAAGCTATGCACTAGGACTTCTATCGAAGAGCAGCCAGTGCTCTAAAACCTGCTCCGCCTACGGCGCCCTCAAAGCCGATTCATCCCATTGTGGTTGGGTTGTAATTACAGGGTTCTTATACGGTTTTATAGCGGTTCCAGAAGCTGTTTGTAAGCTTTCAAAAAGTGGCTCTCGTGTTTTGGGGGCTTAATGCGAGCTCCCGATGAATAGACCCCCCTCCCTCAATGAGCCTTCCGTGCTTTCGTACGGATCCTCAGGTTCGGGGCCCTGAATAGAAGCCCAGTAGCTGAGTGGATACACTACACACTTTTTGGGGATAGTAGTACTAGTACTACCACGTTCAAACTAAAAGTGTACACTTTCACTACACACTTCTTGGGGATAATATTACCCACCATAAAACTAAAAGTGGACACTTTTTGGGGGCTTATGAACTCAGCAACTAAGGAAGCGGTAGTCAGGGCTCTTCTGCAAACAAGATCCGATGAACGGGGTTCAGAATCCAGGCTTCTTTGTCATAGCCGGACGACTTTCTGTTATCGGGTACTTAGACCCAAGAAGGAATAGACATTTCGTTTTGAATTCTAAAAGCCCTAAACCCTAAATCCTATCCCAACCATGGACTGGGCTGAGCGGTACAGCATCACGGGCTCGGGGCTCGTGGGGTGATAGGTACTGGGTTTAATCTGGGGGTCGAAACCCCTTTTTGTCATATTAGGGTTCCTTTTAAAATTTAATGTAAATCCCTTAAGTTGAGGAATTTGGAGTTTCTGGGAAAGCTCCAAAACGAGGCCCGAATGTTGGTAAAGGGTGGAAGCAAAAGGTCAATTGGGGCAGGATTTGACCAGGGCTGATGCTGCCGACGTCGACGCGCACGGAAATCGTCATGAGCGCGGCAAAGTCGGTGAAGGTAGCCTATGGCCACAGCTTGGCGTCCTCTTGGGAAAAGTGGCGAACTCCCCCGTGACTCGGCATACCTTCTGGAGTAATCGTTACATCATAAGAGTGAGGTATTCTCGTGGGAAGGTTTCAATGAGTTCCTGCAGAGGTGCCAGCCATGCTGCCACCCCAGCTGCCGCAGAGGACCGATTCTGAATTTCTGGGTTTCGGGCTCGATTTCAGGGCGCACTGGCTTTGGGTATCTATGGGTTCATATGCTTTTTGGTGCTTTTGAAAGTCTAGGGCTTTTCATACAAGAATGCTCGCATTGATCCGTCTTCAGCGCGAAAAGGATCAAAAGTCCCGGACCGTCCATCATATACTCGGAGGAGAAGTCACCGGATGTATGTTGAACCCGACGCGGAATTATAGGGCGCATGGAATCCTGCCTGATGCTATACAACTTGACCTTCGAGGCCCAGGAGTACCTGTATGTAATCAACGCAAGCACTCTACACACCTTGAAGGGATATTCCGCATCTAGAATTCGTTCCCCAATTGCCCTGTCACGTTACGCTCTTGAGATTCCCAAACGCTGGTATGAAGCTGGCTGTTCATGCTTGTCCCTGGGTCAATGCGAAGCAGCTAAGCCATAGAAGCTTGATGATGCATCGAGATCTCGTTAAGGTTTTGTGTAGTCTTCAGTGGTCAGGGCTTTGGCGGCGTAGGGCCTGTATGCAGGGCTTATGTCATATGCACTTCTAGGTTCGGTGAACTTTGTTCTTAAGGTTATAAGTACCTTGATTATGGGTAGAAGTAGATGTGACAGAACTTACCTTACTTACAATCCTACTTACGAAGTCCACCTGAACCTCTACATCGGCATACAGGTCTTGTGACTTTGCACGGTAGCTGACTCGGGGCTTGTTGGCTTACAAAACAGCCTTTCAACAATAAAACATCCATTGGGGCAAAACGCTCGCCTTTTGCGTTACAGCTCACCTGTAACATCAAGTAAACCCTTTTCAGCGACGTATATAAGGACCACTATAAGGAGATCATCATAATAGCCCTGAAAATGTATTGTTTCCGGGGTCCAGCCACCCAGAGAACCCAATACCCCCTAAATAAGGAACATACCTTAAATCATAGCATTAAGCCCCCTATAATGTAAGGTATATTCCTTAATTGGGGGGGTATTGGGATCTCTGGGCAGGTTTGCCTTGTCTTTGGCACCTCTTCAACCGCGAGCATGGCGGTCCAACTTTCAAGTTCCGGTTTGCCCTTGGGGTCGGTTTAGGGTTTAGGGTTCAATGGGTTCTCGACCCTAAACTACAGTAAACCCCAGGAAGTTGGAAACCGGATTAAGGCCAAATAGTGATGGGATTTCCTATACATTACTCTTAAGGATTGAGGCGATTGGGTTTCCAACTTTTTGGCTTCTACTGTAATGGGTTCTAGGTTGGTCACAGCTTTCGCATGCCTGGCACGGCCACGGGCCGAACAGCGGAGCGTGGCTGTAGTGCCAATGGCAGGCCATCCTTGTCATTGCTTCCCCGGAGCCAGCTGAGACTGGTCATCAGTTGGGGCACTTTCAGGGTGCTATCAAAGGGGTAAACTCCAGCAGGAGTCGTCTCCGTTGATGCTTCCGTCCCTCCTTTAGGGGAGCGTACACAATCATTTGCTGATGCGATTAGGATGGCACTACGCGAGTCGCATGCCGAATCTCTCTAGATAGTAGAAGCATTCATTGCTGGCTGGCAGGAGTTTGCTTCTTTTCTTCGCTGCTTCTTTCAGCAGGGCTTTCCGCTGGGCAAAACATTTCAGCCACGAAATACTTTTGGACGGCAGCATGTCTCTACCATACGCAAGAAAGGCGCCTTGCGCCAGGCCCAACTTTGGCATATCGTATGGTTTCCCACATACGATATAGTGCAAGAGCACCCCTCTGCTTCTAATCGGCGCCTGCAGTGCGACTAGGATCCTTCTCTTCTGATGAGGCAGCAGGTACCCTAAATCCTGAACCCTAAGCCCCGCCCACTGATACTCCTCGCACATCCTTGAAAGTGTAACAGGAACCCTAATTCTGGTATTATTCACGGTAGATTCCTCAACTAAGGCATTTTTCGAGTCTGTGGGAAGTTAAAGTCAAGGGTAAAAAGAGGGACCCTTCATCAGGACCCCTAGGTACATACCCTTAGCTATTATATACCCATTCTATAGCCCATTATATGGTAGGGGTCCCATTACGGGTCCCTCCTTTCCCCTTTGGTTAAAGTCTCGGAGCTGGCAAACCCATAAACCCTCCGCAAGTCCCGTGACCCTTCCGCACAGGATCCCGACGACTGGCTCGGAGCTCAAAGGGAAGAAGTCAGTCTGTCAGGCTTGAGGAGTCCTTTACGTGGAGGATCAAGGGGGTTTAGGGTTTTGTGGTTTAGGGGGTTGGGGTTTGGGGGTTTAGGGCTTTATAGGTTTAGGGTTTAGGGTTTAGGAAGGGGTTCTTTACTTGGAGGATCGGGGACTTAGTAAGTAGGGTTATAAGTACGTAAGGTAACTATAGTTATATCTACTTATAACCCCAATCAAGGTACTTATAACCCTATAGGTACTAAGTCCCATGATCCTCCAAATGCAATTCTCCCAAAGGGTCCAAAGTACCTGTATAGTAGAATGTAGGGTTTCTATAATTATTAGGAATTACTATTAAATGATTTGGGGGAGTATCCAACCCTTTGGCTCTTTACCCTAAACCCGGACTTCCACGATGGTTATGGAGACTGGCGCCGAGGCTGATTAAAAAAGTGCTTTGACCAACATTCTTCACTGCCAGAAACCCGGACCGACGGCTCTTCGACGACATTCCTGCTCCTCCCGGGTGTCGAGGATCACGGTGTCGTCATGCTGAGAAAGGGCCATTGCTTCGTCCCCAAAACCCTTAAACCCTAGACCCTTTAAACCCTACACCCTAAACCCGAAACCCTGAAGCCTTAAACCCTAAACCCTTAAAACCTCTATTCCAAACCCTTTAAACCCTACACCTAAACCCGAAATCCTCAAGCCTTAAACCCTGAATCCTACACCCTAAGCCCGAAACCCTTAAACCTTAAACCCAACACCCTAAACCCTACACAATAAACCCAACACGCTAAACCTTAGAGCCGCCGGCGATACAAATCCCTGACGTCCCTTGCAGGATATTCTCTATTAGGGTTTAGGGTTTAGGGTTTAGGGGGGAGGGTGAGCTTTATTCCCTCGCCATGTGCCATCTGAAGAATCAGGATGTAAGCTGGGTTTGGGGTTATAGAGTGTACCCATAGGCTCATACCCTACCCCTTTTTAAGGTACCTACTTTTCTATATAGGAGATCCTAACCATAAAACTAGGCACCCCAAAAAGGCATAGGGTATAACCCTCTAGGTATGGATTGGAGTTCAGGGGTTCAGGGTGTGCTCGGCTGGTCGCACGGTGGTTTTCCGCGCAGCGGCAAGATCACGCATACACTTGTCACAGCAAGCAACACCAAAGCCAAGCCGAGCCACCCGAAAATTCCTAACCTCTAAAGCCTTGCACTTAGCGATGGCCCTGGCTCTCATTCGGACAAGGCTCAACGAGCTCGAGAACGACTTCGTCGCAGACGCCGGAGGCAGCGTGGGACAGCCCTAATTTGAGGGGTTTAGGGTTGAGGGCTTAGGGCCAAAATAAGTGGTCGCAGTATCCTCTCATAATGGCTAGATGCCTAGAAAGTTATATCCTGAGAGTTTGAGTAGGGATCCCAGATATGGCATAATATAATCAACATCCATTGTTTATTTCGGGACGTATTGTGGCCTATGCCAGGGTTGCTGCACAACCTATGCACCCAAAGGGTCCAAGATCATTTCAAACAGGACTATGGCAAAAACATACGATGAAGCTTTCCGAACTCCGAAGTAGATTCTTGAAATTAGGGACGATGGGCTCTCTGCGTACTTATAAAATACCATGTTACTTAGACCTTCTACACTTCACGGTAGATTCCTGAATTAAGGGATGTTGGTTGGGTACGGCCCCCACTCAGTAATAGTTGAATAATATTCCTAGTATAGATATATTAGGACCTTAAGAGTAGCCCTATTATAGACACTTACTGGAAGGGGGGAGTACCTAAGATGTTGGGCTCTTCGGCTAGTAAGTCAAAGGCTCCATGTACGTTTATAGTAGATACCTAAGCCTTAAAGGGCTGCCTATATCGTTACTTTAAGGCCTTAGCATATACTATATGGGCACATGGAGCCTTAGGGTAAGTCCTGCCTGCGATACTGCACGTGCGCGAAGCACCCAGGCCCGGCTTCTCCGGCGGCCGCGCCACAGACAGGCACGGTAGGGTGTACCTTAACCCGGAATAACCTACCTTTTTAAGGACTTGTACAAGGAAACCATAATAAGGAACCCTAGAAGGGTAGGTTATTCAGGGTTAAGGTAGGGTTTAGGGCTCCTTGAAGGGATGTCAATCAGAATCGAGAAGAGGATCGTTGTTTAGGGCTTCGAGGTGAAGGGTTTGCTGTGTAAGCTTTTTGGGTTAGTGCAGCTCTGCTCGAGTGGGATATGAGTTGGTGCTAGGTCTTGTGGTTTCGTGGTGTAGGTTCGGAGTAGCTGTCTGGAGCTAGCTCCTTCAAATCTGCTCTTAAACCCTACGCGGAGGGTCGGGGGTTAGCAAGTTATTTTAAAGAGTTATAAGTATCATAACTCCAGTTAGGACCCCTTTTAGGGTACTTATAACTCTACTTAGTGCATACTTACTAAGTCCCCCGACCCTCGCGGTAAACCCGCCCTAAACCCTAAACCTTAAGCCCTAAACCCTAAACGCCTAAACCCTAAGCCCTACGGCCTTGACGTGTTTGGAATTTAAAGGACATGACACCGACCGATGGAGTAATACCGCACATGACGAGTGGCGCGAGACCCAGGAAGCACGGGTTCCCCAGAAAGCCTACATTCCCGGAGCTAAGGACGATGCTGAAGATCATGATGTTGCGCCGTTCAGCGGTCGATGTTCAGCACTCTGTGCTTTAAGGGATACTTGGAGGCCCTTTTGACTTAGCAAGTAGGGTTACAGTAAGTTGAGTTATATAGGAGTGTGAGAGGGATTGAAGAGGATACTAACTAGACTTACTAAGTCAACATTGCCTCCAAGTATTGGTAGGTTCCAAATACTGACGTGGAAGTGAGCTCTCTGGCTATACCTGGAGCAATCACATGCAGGCCCGCTTGCAATCCTACGAGCTCTTCCGATCCTGCAGGTACCTGGAGGATCAGGTGAACTAAGTAAGCTAGGACCTGGAGTAGGCCGTTATTCCCTGTTTTAGGGTTCAGGTTCCCTGATAAGCCCCTTTAAACCAAAAACGGCACCCTTTTTATTCCTAGGTTACTCTTGGGTCTGTTAAGTAGGGTGACTAGTACCTTAAGTATAGGACTGTAGGTAGATAGGACTTTATATGGTTTATTTACTGATACAGCCCTCTTACTAAGTCCGATGAACCTGCAAGTAGCCCAGCCTGAGCACACCAAGCCCGAAACCTCAGTTCCGCAGATAGTTCGTATGCGTCCGAAGGAATTAGTAAACTTCTGTTTTCATTGCGCTCTTGAACATTATGACAGCAGGGTCCAGAAACCCAACACCCCCGCATGCCCTGCAGCCGTAGACTCAGAATCCTAAGCTTTAAACTCGTGGGCAGTAGTGGGCCATGACGCACATGGCACCAGCTGCCTTCCGAAAAGGTCAGAGCTGTGGTCTTACCTGGGCGTCTGGTCGCCTCTGACAACGACCATGAAGCTGCGCCGTCCAGCTGGCTACTCGGAAGCGCAAGGCCCGATCAGGAGGACATGACCGACCTCCGGACGATTGTGCAGCTGCTCACCACGTTGGTACTCAGGCACGAGTCCCAGCACAGCATCAATCGCCTCGATACGGGCTACGTGATCTTCTTGAAAACGGACATTCCCAACAGCCTCGCCACCAGCTACATCGAGATGCAGATCAGAGTGGAATTGACATGGCAGTACCATGACTATTTGATGGGCATCATTCATCAGCCGCGAGACTGCCCACGGCAAGCGCAGCGCAAGGGCGGTGGCGAAGACAGTAAAAAGTGACTCCTGGGAGCAGAAACCGAAAGAGCCCGACCAGCCCTCAGTCACAGCAAAGGCAAGGAAGAGGACGAAGGCATCCAAAGGGAGTCGGTGGAAATGGACGACGCCTGCGAAAGTGATTTCCAGGATTTTTACGAGGCATCGATTTGGAATAGCGGTTAACTTCCCTTATTGGTTGATATATAGAGCCCTAATTATAAGTACGTGCGGAGGACTGCTGAAACTCACAGCTAGTTGAGTACGGTACTTCCGTAAGAAGGAACGAAACATTGTATTTCGGGGATTCCCAGGAGAGCCCAGTGTGGATTGTGGGTTTACAGGTGAAGCGATCCTTGAGTAAGCCTCGTGTCTCTGTTGCAGTTCCCTTCTGGGCTATCAGTTCTATGGTTATGTAGGGCCCTATGATAAAGAAACCAGGCACCCGAACCAACTTAAATGCAACGGAGACTATCTGGTAAATCTTCAGGTTCTCTTCACTCTCAACACATGGGTGGTTGTCAAAATTATGGTCCCTTTTGGGGAACCGTAAATATTAGGTGCCGTACCATAATAGGGACTCAAAAAAGGACCATAATTTTGACAACCACCCACATGTTCTTAACCCCAAACCCTAAACCCTTATAGTACCCTAAACCCTAAACCGTGATGCAGGCGCGCCTGCCCCGTCAACTGCGGCACAGACTGGCGCGACCCTGGCAGATGCCTCTCGCTACGAAAAATCCGTTTCCCCCAGAGTTCTATGCTGGACTAGGGCTAGGGTTTGGGGTTAAGGGCTTAGGGTTTGGGGGTTTAGGGTTTATAGGGTTGAAGCTAAGGCAACGCACAACAGGGTGCCCTTGTTCTTCAGAAGTTGCTGGGTAACCTAAGATGGATAGCTTTGCGAGTCTGGTTCCACTTCTGAGGCCGGCTTGAAGCCCTCCAAACTGGCCTAGTCAACTGCAGAACCTAAAAGCAGATGTCTTGTATTTCCAGATATTCAGTCGGTGCACAGGAATGGAACCTCTGTGGACTCGGCTGTGGATTTGCTGGAGGGAAAGCCTTTGGTAAGTCGGTTGTCGCGCTCGCAAGGCACAGTTACAAGTAACACGCTGCCACCCTAAAGCCCCAAAATCCCAAAGCCCTGAAGACTTAAAACCCGAAAGCCCGAAAGCCGTGAAGCCCTAAGACCCTAAGGCCCAAAAAGGCCCCCAAAACCGCAAAACCCTGAGATCCTCAAAGCCCTAAATCAATCCTAAAGCCCCAAAACCCCTACTTGTCGCCTTAGTCAACCGCCCTGACTCACCCTCCCATTGGGGCTGTTCGTGTTGCCCCCTAGACCCTAACCCCTAAACCCCTAAACCCTAAACCCCTCTCACTCGGCCTGTTCGCGCTGTCCCGAAACTCCAAACCCTAAACCCGAAACTCTCAGTCCGACCAGCCCTAACCTACTTGTTTTGGATTCCTTCGGTTGATGATAAAAATCCTGCATTACCTCAATGACGCTAGACCATGGGAATTATGGTGTATTCTTTGTCATGGGTGCTGGATTTGTATCATCAACCGTTAGACTATGACGTGTTTATGCATGTCCGTAGAAAAGGTAGGTTGTTCGGGGTTAAGGTACTGCTGATGGACAAAATCCTGCATGACCCTAAGGATTCTAAACTATGGTATCTTCCTTATAATGGGTAATGCAGGATTTTGTCCATCAGCAGTACGAGGTTCAAGGAAACCCAAAGTGAGCAGAGTGGAGCTTCGTCTCTGACACGGGAGCACCCTTCTTCGTCTTTAAGGCTTCAGGGTAGCTTTTGCTTTGTTCTTTAAGGTGTCCCTTCAAGGGATCTATAGGGGAACTATAAGGGTTTAGGGTACTACTTAGAGGGTCATTGGACTCCTCTAAGTCCGGCAAAACATCCGCTCAGGATCGGGTTTAAGTCGGGTGTTCAAGTCCTGCAGGGTTCCATAGGGTTTTGACTGGGATTAAGGGTTTCATGAGCGGTTAACCAGGGTCTTCATACGACTATAACATTGGATTAGGGGAAGTGGTAAGTAGGTGAACCGAGAGCTGCAAGTGCCCGAGCCGGGGCTGTGATACTGAACCCTCAACCCTACACCCTAAACCCTCAACCCTACGCCCTAAACCCCAAACCCTCAACCCTACACCCTAAACCCTCAACCCTACGCCCTAAACCCTCAACCCTAAACCCTGAACCCTCAACCTTAAACCCCAAACCCTCAACCCTGAACCCTCAACCCTAAACCCTAAACCCAATCAAACCTCTACCCAGAACCGACTGACGAGGTGCTCGCGAGCTTTGCCCCGAAAACAATCCTTCAGAGCTGATCCGCTAGCATTCTACCGACTTCTTCAGCTCCAAAAATGTGTTCTGAAATGGTTTAGAGTTTAGGGATTAGGGTTTAGGGATTAGAGTTTAGGGATTCGGGATTAGGGTTTAGGCAGCCCTGCCTCTGCCAGCCGCTGGCAGCTGAGGCGGACTTCGACGATCTTTGGGATTCCATGATGGACGATGACAAGTCCAAGCCAGCGTAGGGGCTCAGGTTTAAGGTTTAGGGTCGTTCAGGGGTTGAACCCCTTACAAAGCCTTTGTAGCACAAACTCTCAAAGAACCCTTCTAGAACCCCACGCAACCATGCAACCCGTTTGTGAGTCCTGTTTGTAGAACCCTTATGGAACGCTTCTAGAAATAGAAGCTGTAGGAGCCCCCACGTTGCCATGCCTTTCCCGATGTGCCCTGAACCCTAAACCGGCTTCAGATTGCCGCACTCAGAGCCGCATCCAAAAGACCAGCGGGCGTGCCTTCTGGGTGGGTTTTGAATCGGTTCGAACAGTGTTATTAGTGTTTGATACGGATTCTGCCCGGATTCTATGGTCTAGGTTTTGTTTGTGGATTTGGGTTGTCTAGGAAACGTAGGCGTGCGATAACTCTCAGCGCTTGCTCTACCAAGTAGTTCTAGGGACCCTAATGCTAACTCTCTAGAAAGGTGGCTTTGTAAGGTTGGGTGTTTCCTATTTGGGCTTTACATTCGTGGTCAGAATCAAACGCCCTCCTTTGCGAGGACTTCGTGTTCAATGATCCAAGGTTTATTGTATAATTTTGAAGTCTGCTTTCTACTGACGAACATTCGTATCTATATAGCCAAAAACAATTTTTTGCAGCTAGTACTGCTTCAAAACGACCATGACATGGAACGGTTATGATGCTGATGGGACGGTCGATGATGAAACCGTCATCAGCATCACTCGACACCTCGACAATCATACTACAGAGAGTCGAGAGAACATAGCACTCACTCAAAGATGACGGCTGGTAGTAAAAGTGCAGTAAAGGGCAGTACTAAGGTTCAATGGAGTCTCACTGTTGCAAACAATGCCCAGAGTACGAATGCAAGCAGCAACATCTAACACAATTTTAATGTCCAGGCGTGGCTCAGCAAGAAAGCGTGACAAGAGGACCACGTGAGGTTTGGGGCCTAGGGCTTCGTGATTAGGGTGTCATTTTTCAGCTGCCATTTATGTGAGGATTCGAGTTGTATTCTAGTCTGTGGAGATAGATAGTTTTCATGTGTATTTGTTTGTCTGAACGTCTAGATCAGAATAGATGTGGTTTGCAGCTTGTAGCCCAGGCACCTCTGTGACTCGGCTATATCTTGGCGCATGAAAATTATAAGGGTCTGTTTGGCAAAGGGCCTGATTCGACACTCTAGACTCTCATTGATGTCTTCTGGGGACATGGCTGCGGCGTGCCGGGCAGCAACCGTGTCTGACCTGTCTCCGGCGGACATCGATCTGTTGCAGCGGGCCATGCTGCGTGGCTGCCCTTTCAGCCCCAATGCCCTCGAACCCCCAGCACCTTCTTCGAGAGCCCAATTGAGGGCAAACGCCTGGTATGATTCATACTCAGCAGCAATGTACCGTCAGCAATAACCACAGAGAAATTCTTTCTTGCTGGCAGGTAAATGCCGTGAGTCATACCTAGTATTAGGCACTCTATTCCAACATGTAAGGCCCCTCTACTATGCAAGTCACAAAGACATGGCAGCGACCCGGTAGGATCATGATCCCAAGAGCTGAATCGTTATCCAACCCCAGAAGCCCATGGATTTAGGTCCTTAGTTTAGAGCTTAGGGCTTACGGTTTACCCAAGGGCCCAAAAGTAGTTCCTTTTTGGGGTTCATCTATAGAATCCTATAGGGTAACTCCCAAAAAGGAACTACTTTGGGGCCTCTGGGTAGGCTCTTTAGGGTTGAGGGATTTGTTTAGGGTTTCTGGGCCTGTAACTGCTACATAGGAGCCAGGGCTTAGGATTTACTTTAGGGGCCTCAACAATTACCAATACCATTTGGGGGCTCCTGATTATCATTAGAATAGCATGGGCCCCAAAACCCAAAACTCTATTCTAATTATCAAGGCCTGACATTAGAGGGCCGGCGGCCAGGGTTGAGGGCTCCCAAACGCCCAGCTAAGCAGCCTCTCTGTCCTCTTCGAAAACAAAACCCTCAACCATAAACCCTAAACCAAATTTTCCCGGAGCGGTCTCTGTGCCAAAACACCCTTGCATCTTATTGTGATGACTACGATGACGATGTCGAGCATGGTGACAGTGTGAAGATGTTGATGGTGATGTTGGTGGTGGTGATGATGCAGCTAATGATACGAAGGTTTCATTAGCGGTGTGCTTGTTCGTAATGCTGTTGCTAGTACCACTGCTATTCCGGTAAGCACACGCAGCTATACAACACCTGTCTCCAAGCACACTCAATCAGGAATGGCGAGCTGTCAGTAGAAGTCGTTCCGCCACCGACGGTCACGAAGATGCAGTGAAAGTCATGTCATGTGGTCTTCTCTGGCGTCCCATGCAGGTTCAGGGCCATCGGGCTTCTTTTAGGAGCAGCCTGACTTCAGACGATTTTACTTCGGTTTAAGGACTCCAAGCAGTCCACGGTCCCGACCCTACTGTGCTTGGGAGGGTAGTCGTGGGCCTTAACAAATGAATAATCAACTATATGTTTCGGGGGCCTCCTTAGTAATTAACTATATATTTAGGGGGGCTCCAAAATTATTTAATACCTATTCTAATCATTAAGCCCCTATGCTACCCATGGTTTGCAAGGTGTTCACTTTCAAGGCAATCCCTGCGTTTCTTCGGAGGGAGCCCCACAGAGCCCAATACCCCTTAATCAAGGAATATGGCTCAAATTATATAGAGCTTCACATTATGATTCAAACCGTATTCTTCCTTAATCAAGGGGTATTGGGCATTCTGCGGACATCCGCAGGTCTCCCAGTGGGCCCTGTTTTCTTTTGTTGTGGTTGCAGGTTCCTTACTAGGCCTCCCAGTGGGCCCTTTTTCCCTTTTTGTAGTCCTCGGTTCCTTGTAAAATTTGCCAATGCTTAAAAGGGAGCCCTTTTGATTCCTAGGTTACTGGGCATCCTAGCTTCTGACTTACTGGGGATCCGAGATCCTGGCATATCAAAGACTACAGAGGTCTGAAACATTTGCACTAGCATACCGCATACCTGCACTGTTCCTGTCTAAATTCGTCATAATTCACCCAGAAGCCCGATTATGATCTCTCAGACCCAAACACTAGCCCTAAACCCTAAACCCTCTAACGCTGGGTCAAACAAGACAAAGCCTCGCCGCTTCGGCTTCACAGCAGTTGAACTTAGGAAAGACTTTGACGTCCTTAAGGCAATACGGCACCGTAGTTTGCCCGCTTACAACCTAGATAAGGTATCTATAGTTATACCGTTCTGCATCCTTAGTGAAAGTAACGACAGTATGTTTTTGCCGTCCTGTCATAAGACAACTATTGTTTTTGCGATTCAAAGCCCTAATTGAGGTTAGCAGCTGGATGAGGATTCAGAGCCCAGGGTTTGCGGTCAGTACGTGCTTGTGCTGTTGGTCGTCTTTGGTTTCTTGTGCGTGTCTGCGGCGTCTTTTACAGGGATCTCCGAAAACAGTTTTCTGGGTTTAGGGCTAAGGTAATGTAGAGGCCCTGATTGAACAACCCACGTGTCTCCAAAGGCCCCATGCATAGTGACCCAGTGTTGGGGTTCTTATTGCAACCCGTTTCAAGGCAAAGGGGGATGTATTAGTCAAACCAATACTCATGCTAATACCAATACTAAGACTATAGTACAAATATCAATACTAATACTAGTACTCCTCATTGTTATACAGACCCCTGGTATGAGCCTGCTCATCCTCTGAAGCCCTGTATAAAAGTTTTCCCCAACCCTTTCGCTGTAGACACCGATTGTCAACGAGGCTCCCAGAGAGCCCAGTACCCTTAATTAAGGAATATTAGGGTTCCTTAAAAGGCTCCTTAAAGGGATCCATAAGGGTTCTATAAGGTAATTAGGAATATGGCTTAAATCATATAGGGCTTCGTATTATGATTGAAGCTATATTCCTGAATGACGGGGTATTGGGCTCTCTGGGAACGAGGCTGAGGGACGCTCCACGCCGACTTCCTCCACTTCATCCTTGGTGCCGCAGCCGGCGCTAGCAGTGCAGGAGCTGCCAGCTATGGCGTACTCAGTGCCCAATACCCCCGCAAGAACCCAGAGAGCCCAATACCCCTTAATTAAGGAATATCTAGGCCTCCCAGTGGGCACTTTTTCCCTTTTTATAGTCCTAGGTTCCTTATAAATTGCCCAAAACCTAAAAGGGAACCCTTTTTATTCCTAGGTTACTGGGCATCCTAGATATGGCTTAAATTATATAGAGCTTCATATTATGATTTAAGCCATATTCCTCCTTAATCAAGGGCTATTGGGCTCTCTGGGAAGAATGTGCATGACTTACAGTTTCAGGGCTGTCGCTGTGACATGGATTTAGGTCCAGTAAAAAAGGCACATGTGTCAAGGGGCTGTTCCAACAAGTTGTCATGCTTCGGTCCCGGTTCAAGCCAGTAGAGGCTACTCCAAACAGGGCATTGGTTTTCAAAGCTACTGAGAACAGACCCTTAGGGTTTAGTGTTTAGGGACTCAGAACAACATGTGTTCACCCCAGTTGCTCATGAATCTTTCATGTATGATGCTCATCCTCCTCAATTCAATAGCCTCACCTATACCAAGCCCCACACCCTAGTGAACCGGCGGGAACTTCCAATGATGCCACAAGATTTGCAAAGGGCTCCCTTTGTTTGGGCTTCGCGGGCGTGCTCAGGGTTCTGTAAGGGTTCCGAAAAACTGTGATGGCTCCATTCATAGCTAGGTTCCTCAGTAGTACCCTTCTGCCCTGATTTTATGGCTTCCGTTAACTAAACAGTAGGAAGATGGGTATCCCTGCTATTGAAGTATTAAGGGCTTCTAAAGACCCCCATGCTTCCTTGGACCTCATAGTTAGGGCCCTAGGCTCTAGACCCGTCAAAAAGCCAACACTAAGGGCCCCGAATCTGCGTAAGGTGGCAGGGAAAGCCCACAGGGGCCAAGACCCTTGAATATTGACCCGGCGATATACTATGATGGGGGCCTAGATAATTACCAACGCTGTTTTCTTTTTGTTTTTGTGTGTGTGTGTG